TATAAGATAACCTTAGGGTGATTGTGGCAAGACTATAGTAACTAGAAAATGTTTTACCTTGAGCTGAGACTCAAAATGGCGAAGAGATATTTTACCAATCAATCAACAAATCTCTGTTGACTAAGGTTGCCAGACTTGAATTCCGTTGTGAAATGGGCTTTATGAAATATTTATGAAAAATGGACTATTTTTACTATGGTAGCAACAGTTCTGCCCTCATTTTAATTTCACTCCACTTAGTTTGGAAATTTAAATGCTCTGCTTTTTTATTCTCCTTTTACAACTTCCTTTGCTTTTCCTGCCTCGGAATTCCAATTAAACTCAAATGAGAACTCTTTTTAGAGAGAACTGCAGAGGGACGAGAAGGAGAAAAATCGGGTCTAATGATTTACTCTCGTCTTTGGAAGGAGAAGCGAAACAAGCTACCTCCAGACCTATTATTTTTAGAGGCGACTAACGCCAGAGAAACCAGACTCCTCTTGAAATGGTGCTGTGTGAAATGCCTATCTGTGTATGGTTCTCTCACGGGTCGCTTGCAGCTTACCTACCGGGAAAAATCAGTGGGAGAGAGGCAGGGTCATTCAGCCTCAGGTTATCTGCCTGAGCGGGAGGGCAGGCCACAAATAGGCACGGGGCTTTGCTTCTGCTTCATAGCAGCTCCCTGACTGACCCTGGACACGTCCATTCCTGTCTCAGCTAATGTAGCTACACAATAGAGGTGGGAGGGAGTCAGCACAATCCGTCTGCTCCGAACATGGACTCAGGTACAAAATGCTGTTTCTCCTGGAGTCCTGGGGACACTATTACAGGTCATCCTTTGCTGGCAGAATTTATGAGAGCTGAATTTTCCCTTGTCATGGTTCCTCTCTCACGTCCCTGAACAAATATATTAAGTATGTGTCAGACACTATGTTTTGCAACATTTATATACATTGATTAATTAAATTCTTACAACAACCTCATTTGAGTTGTTACAGGTGAGGAAATGAGCCTCAGAGAAGTGTGTGTTGAGTTACTGGTGAGTGATAGACCCTGCTCTCTTTGCTAGACTAGAGGTTCTCTGTCTTAGTTCCTCACTGGAAAATTCTGGAGACCATTGAAGACAATAACAGGCCAGGCGTGGTGGCTCATGCCTGTAATCATAACACTTTGTGAGGCTGGGGCTGGAGGATTGCTGGATACCAGAGTTTGAGACCATCCTGGGCAACATAGAGAGACCCTGTCTCTACATAAAAATTTAAAAATTAGCCAGAAATGATGGTGTGCACCTATGATCCTGGGTACTCAGGAGGCCGAGGCAGGAGAATGGCTTGAGGCAGGGAGGTCAAGGATGCAGGGAGCCATAATCCTGCTCATGCCATTGCACTCCAGCTTGGGCAACAGAATGAGAGCCTCTTTCAAACAACAGGAAAAAAAAAAAAACAAAACTGTGATAACAGTACAAGAAGTAACCAATGTCTGGACCCTTCCCAGACTAGCTGAATCAAACCTCAGGGCTTTCTTTCCTGTAAAGGCTTCCAGGCAATGCCAGTATGCAGCTCCCTATGAGAACCATCATCTTACCTCTCCAAAATGAAAGAGCCAAACCAAAAGAAGAAAAGGAATGAAATGAGCACTTACTGAGCCCCTGCTACAGACCATATGCTTCATCTTATGTAATTCCCCCAGCAATTGGAAAATGATTCCTGTTTTACAGATTCAGAAACTTCTCAATTATTTAACCGGAGAGGCTAAGCAATTTTCCTAAAGTCTCAAAGCTCCTAAATGATGAAAAGGAGATTTGAGCTTGGGCTTGTGTTCATGTTACCATACTACCAAGCTAAGAAACACACCACTCACCCACACTGAGGACTCAAAAGAAGTCAAGTCAGACTTAGAAGAACTGGGGCTCGCAGCAGGTTAGAATTTCAGTAGAGGAAGCCATTTGGAGAAGGTTCCAAGGAGCACTAACAAGAAGGCAGAAATACCTGAGGGGGAGAGAGAGGGAAGCTACATCAGAAAGGGAGGGAAGCAGGAAAGAAAGAGAAAAAGAGTGAAGAAATATTTGTATTATATTTACCGTTCTCGTTTCATAACCCTAGGCAGTAGGAACTGTTAGTATCCCCCTTCTGCAGGTAGGAAAACGGAAGCCCAATGAGGTTAAGCAATATCTCAGATCACACAGCCGGCAAGAGGCATAGCGTGGGTTTACTCAGGTCCTGGGTCCAAGTGCCTGGCCACGCATGGTTTATACTGCCCGTCACTTTTCAAAGGAAGGGAAAGAGGAAGGAAAAGCAGATAGGATTTATTTCGTTTAATGATCCAGAGCAGGTATTTTTGGAGTTATTATTGCATTGATTTGCTTCAGGATCCTTGTGAGGTAAATACCACCTTCAATTTTCATTAAGAAAACTGAGGATTGCCATGCAACTATCTTACGTAGGTCTCAGGAAAACTGAAGCAGCAGAGTCGGTGTTCAAACCCTAAGTCAGCAACCCACGTGCCACAAGAACACCACTAAAGTATTAATATACTGAAGGCCAAAAACACAGCAGATAGACCTCTCAGAAGGGAAAAATAGAAAATGGGAAAGGATTGAAATGGATTTCATTATGTTGACTGAAATTGGGAGATGACCGAATGAGGAAATATTTTGATTTTGTTTGGCCAGGGAAGAGCTGTAAATAGGCAGCAGAAAGTGGTTTGAAGAGAAACATACTAAATAAATGCCAGATATTCTTATCTTGACTGGTTATTTTGAACTTAGGCAAAATCATACTGAACAGAGAGGAAATAACTTGTATAAAGTGTTTCCCTTAGTGCCCACCTGGGACTATAAAATGCCAGCAGAGAGGTTCACATTTGATTGCACCTGACCTTGAAAACTCACCTGAAGTCACTTTCTTTGATCACTTCTTTCACTCTACAACTCTCAGCACGATCAATTTCATTTTTCAGTGAATTTCCTTTTGAAATTACAAAATAATACTGTATATGCTTTATTTCAAAAATGTTTGAGAAAATGGGCAAAGGAGGAAAAAGGATAAGCCCCGGTAACCACCACCACTATCTAGTGGGTAGTCTTCCAGGTCTTTCTATGTGCATACCAACATGAACACATGAGTATTATCAAATTCATTTTGGCCCAACCATGATTAAATTCTTCGTTGTGATGAACAGACTTGGTTTATTCCATTTATATAGAAACTGGAGGAAGAGATTTTTAAAACCAAAATAACAGCTGGGAATATTGGGCCATGCCTATAATCCAAGCACTTTGGGAGGCTGAGGTGGGAGGATCACTTGAGGCCAGGAGTTCGAGACCAGCCTGGACAAAAAAAGTGAGACTCCCATCTCTGAATAAATTTAAAAAAAAAAAAAAAAGCCAGATGTGGTGGTGCATGCCTGTAATCCCAGCTACTGTGGAGGCTGAGGTGGAAGGATCACTTTAGGCCAGGAGTTCTAGGCTACAATCATGCCAGTGCATTCAGCAGCCTGGGTGAGATCCTGTCTCTAAACAAAGTAGCAAACAAAATAATTACATTTCGGGCCTAAGAAAAATATAAGGCAGAAATATCATTTTGAATGAGAGTTGAAATATCCTTTTCTCAATTTGGAGTGGACAATAGAGGAAATTTGATAAAGAGCATCCATCAGCTTGTCTCCCCCGCAGCTCCTCTGACAGCCCTTATGTAGAAGCAGCATTCAATTAGCATTTTGTGGGCGAATGAGAAATTATTCCCTTTTAGGATGGTTTTGATTTGGGTTAAATAGTGTCAATACTAAGAATTATAGGAACACATATGCCCAAATATAAATGTTATAGAGTGCTTCAATTTTTATCATCACCTATTTTGGAATATTCAAGCTAGGATTCACTTTCATTTTTACCACAAGTGACATATAAAATTAGCTTGCTTTATTTATTTATTTGAGGCAGGGTCTTACTCTGTCTCCCAGATTGCGCAATAGCACAATAACAGCTCACTGCAGCCTCACCCTCCCAGGCTCAGGTGATCCTCCCACCTCACCCTCTCAAGTAGCTGCGACTATGAGCATGTGCCACCAGGCTCGGTAGCTGTTGTAGAGACAGGGTCTCACTGTGTTGTCCAGGTTGGTCTCAAACTCCTGGTCTCAACGGATTCTCCAGCCTGGGCCTCCCAAAGTACTGGAATTACAGGAATGAGCCACCGCACCAGGCTCCCCCGACTTTTTTTTAACCACTTGTGAGCCTTTAAGACTGCCTCATTATTCATCACATTTCATGTGCATATTCTTGCTCTCCCAGATGAATTGTAACCTCTGCAGAAGCACTGGGGTTTCTTTTGATCTATTTTGTATTCTTCCCAGCACTTGGTCATGCTCTGCACACAGTATATTTTAAACAAATGTTTGTTGACTTTACCACATATGTTGACTGTATGAGTTTGCTAGAGTTGCTATAACAAAGTCACCAACTGGGGGGCTTAAGCAACAGAAATGTATTCTCTTACAGTTCTGGAGACGGGGAAGTCTGAAACTGAGGTGTGGGCAGGGTTGCTTCCTTGGGAGGGGTGTGAGGAAGAATCTGTTCCAGGTCCCTCTCCTCAGCTTGTTGATGGGCATCTTCTTGCATCTCCTCACCTCACCTTCTCTGGCGTATGTCTATTTCTGGGCCCACGTTTTGCCTTTTTAGGAGGACGTGAGTCAAATTGTATTAGAGCCCACCCTAATGATTTCATCTTAACTAAGTATATCTGCAATGACCCTATTTCCATATAAGCTCATATTCTAGGGTAGTTGGGGTTAGGACTTCAACCCGTCAATTTTGGGAGCACATCATTCAACCCATAATAGTGACCTTTCATCAAATCATAAAAATTCAGCAGGAGATGAGGCTTTAAAAATCGTGGTAGCCTACCTGAAACCTGAATCCTTTTTTTACACCAAGCCAAGAAGAGCATTTAGAATTTTAACAATATATTTGGCGACAGGGTTTTCGGGTTGATTTTATTTTTTAATGCCCTCTGTATGCTTTCCAGAATGGTTCCCGCTGCCTAAGCCTCCAAGCCTTCACGTTGTCTGGAACAGGTGAGTACTACCTCGGGAAGGCATCTTTAAGCAGGACTGGGGAGATGTTTCCTGGATCTCAGTCCACTGAATGGCAGCCCCCAGGCACTTCCATGTGCGGGGCTCTAAGCTGTAGGAAGATGCCTCTAGGAGAGTCAGACCCCTGCCTGTCTGTTAGTTTTTCTCTATGAACCATTTTACTTTCAGTGAGTCTGGTCATTAAAATTGTTTTGTGTCCCTCAGCCATGCCCCAGGCCCTGAGAACGAGGGAGTGTTGGCCTGCAAGAAAACCTAGTGGGTTTATTATTCTCTGACACAGAGAAACCAAATAACATCATTGAGTGGCTATTGGAGGGGGGGGCAACTTGATTCATGGGGGTCATCCTTTCCCAGGCCCTCTCTACGCAGTCTCGGCTCAGACCAGGGCAGACTTTTATTACCAGCTTTCAACAAATCCCTAGTTTCTTTTGCAAAGTAAAACAGATAATAGAGACATTCCGGGAATAGTTAGCTAACTAAGCTATGCCAGGCAACCTCCGGGCTAAGAAGAACTCAGTGTTTTCGGACAATGACCAATTACAATAACCAGTATTATTTGATCTGAGAGTAATTAGCCGAGGCTCTGTTCTTTTTGCTTCAGTGAGGAGGCAAAAAGGGCAGTGAGGAAAACATCAGAGACAGGGGAAACGAGCTCAAATGTCAAAGAAAAACACACTCTTGCAGGTGGGGAGAAGTGGAAGAGTTTCACCGGCCAAGATCCTGACCGAACATTTGAACATTGTTTTTCCCTGAAAATGTGATCGAATTTAACTTCACCAAAAGTTGTTTGAATTCTTCATTCTTACTGTTCATATCCCTTAAAATGCCTCCACATGGAGTAAATATCAGGGCACAAAGAGTAAAATAGGTTGGGAACATAGAACTATGGACCACCAGAGGATCTTTCATTGGGAGGGACAGGTTTTTGAAAATAAGGGACTCTGAAACTCCCCCTTATTTTGGAGACAGGTTCTAGGGAACTGCTGCTTATCACTTCATTCAAGATGTGCAAATGTTCTTTTGTCAGTATAGTCAGGTTCCCTCCCTTCTACCTAGAGATCTGTGGATTTTAGCACTGCCCTGTGGCTTTATCTGATGTCACTATCTGCTCCCAAAGTAAATGGCAACTCCCAACCTGAGAACCACCTTAATACTCCATGCTGCTCCTGCAGCTGCCACTGTCCCATGGCAGAAGATAGTGCCACGAGCCTCCTGCTATCACCCCACCAGCCTTTCTTTCTAGGGCTGAGCAAGGCTTGAATTCTCTGAACGTCTCTGGCTTTTCTGACCATCCAGCACCCATGGCCTCTGCCCTTTCCTTTGTCCCCCAGCAACATGTATTCACTTTTGCACAGACTTCTGGCTTCTCTGCTCAGATCCTTAACACAGGAAGTAATATCTAGGCCAGGCCTGGTGGCTCACGCCGGTAATCCCAGTACTTTAGGAGGATGAGGCTGGCAGATCACCTGAGGTCAGCAGTTCAAGACCAGATTGGCCAACATGGTGAAACCCTGTTGCTACTAAAAATACTAAAGTTAGCCAGGGTGGTGGCACATGCTTGCGGTCCCAGCTACTTGGGAGGCTGAGGCAGGAGAATCTTTTGAACCCAGGAGGCAGAGGTTGCAGTGAGCCAAGATCAGGCCACTACACTCTAGCCTGGGAGACAGAGTGAGACTCCTCTGTCTCAAAAAAAAAAAAAAAAAGGAAGTAACGTCTAGAGGTATGTTGTCTAAAACAGTAGCCACTAGCCACATGTGGCTATTTAACTTTTATTTACTTAAATTACATTTAAAATTTAGTTTTACTGTACTAGCTGCATTCCAAGGACTCAGTAGCCACATTCAAGTAGTGACTATGATATTGGACAGAGCAAAAATAGAATATCTCCATCATCATGGAAAATTCCATTAGCCAGTGTTAGCCTAGATTATCACGTGGGAAAATTCTTGGCTCTGGGAAGGGGTCTGTGAAAGGGTTAACATTAGATGCCAATACATACCATGTACCTAGCAGGGTGCTACATATATTATTACATCTAATCCTTACAAATATCATTCCCAGGTCAAAGAGGAGGAGACTGAGGCTGAGAGAAGTTAAGTAACTTGGCCAAATTAGTCCAGCTAACTAAGTGTTAGAGCCAGGATTCATCTGTTACCCAGGTCCCTATGGATGTTTTGTCTGTTGAATCAGGTTGCAGCTGTGGTGAGTAACGAGTGGCCGAAGTGTCACTGGCTTTTCTACACGATCCCTTCAGAGGTGCGGTGGAAGCATGCACAGGCCTGCAGACGAATCCCAGGGACCAGCTTGAGGTTTGATGGTGATCTCATTAGTATGGGCCTAGTAGGTAGACACTCACTTTTTAGATTGATTGGCAAATAGTAGGACAGCTTCTCCAATGTGTCTTCCTAGTATTGGATGTATTTCTTACTGTGGGCATCTACTACATCCCAAACTGAGAACATTGAAAAAGTACCAACTCTATCCCTGCCCTGTTCCTCTTCCTGTAGGTCTAGGGGGAAAACAAAGAACCCAGTTGAGCTCATGGCGACCAGCCTGTCCTGCACCTCGGAGGTCAGTGGCAGTGCTGTGAGTGGGAGACTTTCATATTCAGAGCCAGGCTGTGCTAAGAAATCAAAACTGCTGTCCCAGACCCCTGAGAACAACCAGATTTTAGAAGTGTGGAGTGATAGGTTAGTAGATGGTGATTTACACAGGCACAAATCTTGATTTTCATTTTTTTCTTATTGTTTGGGTTTCTTTTCTGGACTTTTAAACTTACACGTAGCTGTCCTGGCCCCCAGCACATCTTTTAGGATTAATATAAAATTTTAATTCTTTTTATGACTTTTATGAGCAATGGGGCCCGTGGGAATTCAGGTGGGCTGGAATGAATTTATTGTCCTTGCCCACAGGGATGAGCACTCTTCTATGCTACTGGTGGAAATGGGAATTGGTGCAGCTCTTCTAGCTGATAGTATGAATCTACAGCTCTTCTAGTGGATAGTATGAATCAAATACTTTAACATGTGGGATATATCCTTCCAACTGAGGAATATCAACTCTAAGAATTTGTCCTAAGGAAATATTACACAAACACACACAGATTTCTCTTTGAGAGTATTTGTTACAGCATGATTTTAACAGTACTATCTCCATCCCAACAGTAAAAGAAACTCAGACAGGTGTCTAGCTATGTAAATTTATGGTATGCCTACATAATGGAATGCTAACAGCCAGTAAAATTGTGTCCTAGAAAGTGATTCAAAGTTATGGGAAGATGATCAAGGGAGTTAAATGGAAACAGTAGGTTATAAGAGCATGTATAGTATGATCCCTTTTTTTTTTTTTTTTTTGTAAAACAAAAACTATAACTGTCTAAAAATAAAGGACTGAAGAAAACAAAGACCTCAAGCAATTGAGGTGATTATCTTTGAGTATAAGAGTATTCTCTCAGAGTGATGGGATAGTCATAATTTTCCTTCTCTGCGTTTTCTAAGTGCTCTACAATAACTATCAATTATTTTGGCATTGGAACACTTCTCACCCTTGAAATGTTACTAGAAGCAGTGGTTTATCACAGGATTCTTTATCTTTAATAGCAGATTCTTATTAATTGGGTGGGTGGGTTTTTGTACCTCTGCAAGATACTCCTGGCATGTTCAGTAGTTAACGTCACAAACCTAACAGCTTGAATTTACATCTAGCTTACATGAAAAGGTGCTGGTAGGCAAATTAACATTTGTGATGTTCATTTTTTATGCCAATGTTTGTTTTCAAAGTCAGGGTTGTAACCAGTGGATAATTGTTCCAGTGGGAGTTAGCGGTGGTGGCGCTGTGCAGGACTATGACAGTAAAGGCAGTTGGGCCATAGATGATAGGAAAAAGCATAACGATACAAAGACAGAAGAGGTCAGCAAATCAACATTTGTGCCCAAAAAGCAACATTTGTTTACCCAGGACTCTTTTTTTTCTCAGCTCCGCAGAAAGAGCGTAATGTGCACTAGCAAGGTAGTGGTCACCGGGGCGCTTGGCAAAGGCCCGGATCCTAATGGTCCTGCTCCCAGTGCTGCCAGCGAAGGCTTGCATTCGTGTGGGGTGGAGTTGGCTTGTACAGGGGAGACCGACATACACTTGGCTCCTGGGAGGAAGAGCCTTCGCCTACCCACTTTGCCCTGTTTACCACCCCTGCCGGCAAAGGACAAGCAATGTGCAGCAGTCATAGTCCAGAGACTGTGAGACGGAACAAGTCTGGAAACTACCAGAAGCCCTGAAACAACCCTATGGCAAGGATAAGGGTAGGCTCTGTTGGTCAAGATAGAAAGTCCTAAAAAAGAGGTTCTTATATCACTAATTAGTACCTACTTTTCTTTTACTCATTCACCTGGTTAAAAAAATACGTTCTTATTTTATTTTTTTGAGGCCGGAGCTGGCTCTGTCACCCAGGCTAGAGTGCAGTAGCACGATCATGGCTCACTGCAGCCTCGATCTCCTGGGCTTAGGTGATTCTCCCACCTCAGCCCCCTGAGTAGCTGGGACTACAGGCGCATGCTACCATACCCAGCTAATTTTTTTATTTCTTGGTAGAGATGGGTTTTCACCATGTTGCCCAGGCTGGTCTCAAACTCCTGGGCTTAAGCAATCCTCCCATGTGCGCCTCCCAAAGTGTTGGGATTATAGACATGAGCCATGACACCTGGCCAAATAACCTGTTCTTATAAGAAAAGGGGTGCCTTTAATACCCTAGAAGCTCCATTAGCCTTTCTTGGCTTCCCCAGGCACTCTATATAAACACAGTCTAAGTAAAAACAATATGCCTGCCATGCTAACACAAGTTTAAAACAGGTTTCCTAGCCTTCCCTGTCCAATCAGATAGCAGTCCCTCAGCCCCCACTACAGGGCAGTTCAGGAGCCACCTGTTATGGGTTAATGTGGGGGGGGCATGAGAGAGAACAAATCGCTGATTGGGGTGGGACTGTGGAGGTGGAAGTTGATAGATGCATTGCTCCCCACCAGCTACCCGCTCTCCCCATGCCCAGAAATTCATATTTAACCAGAAAGTGTGAAGGCTGCAGAAAGTGGATTCAGGGCCCAATTTTGTCACAGGCTTCACCTCACCACCCAATAGTATGGGTGGACCAGCTAAAATTTGTTCATGAGATTTCCCTAAGTCTCCTTCCGGACAGATCCTAGGCTCTAGTGATTTGTACTAACATCCTCTTCAAACCTCCATTTCATAGGCCCTAAAAACCTCTGCCTGGACAGGATACCCTGGATGAGGAATCTATATATACCAGTCCTTCTTCAGGCCACAGCAAATGAGTAGGCTTCTACCCTATTCCTTTTTCTCCTAACTAGCCTGGAAATTTGCAAGGATTTTGGAAATTTGCAAATTTCTTCTTTTCTTGTCTATGAAGCAATCCTGAGTTTGAAGATAGTTACCTGTGTGCAGAAACAGTTTCATGTCTTGGGAATCAAATAGCTCCAAATTTTTTAATGCAAATTTATGCAAAAATTAGATAAATTACAATTCTGGGTCAGGACCTCTAGCATCCCTGTGTCATGGCACCTGGAAGGGAAAGAATATCTGATTTTCTTTGCTATAAGTCGGTAGGTATATTTGACATTAAGTAAGTCCATCTATGTCTGCTTAATTGAGGATTTGCAGTGGTGTTTCATGGCCATACAACTTAATTCTGAATGTCAGTCATCAGTCTCATGATCAGCTGACAGATGCATCCATCCCTCTGGGATATGCACAGTTTTCCCTCTTATGGCTTTCCAGATGTAAATCTATGTGTGGGTTGTGGAGCTGGGTGTATGTAAATGATTGGCATTAGATTAACAAAGACTTTTGAGCATTGTAAGTAAATAGGAAACATGAAGCCCCACAAGCCACCCTCCCCAGCTTCACATCGGGCCACTCTCTCCATTTTTGTCCTGAGCCAGCCAACTGAACTTAATTCCCTTCTTTAAACTCCTGCTTCTCCCTCCCTCGCTAGGGTCTGTATGGGCACCACAGATCCCTGTCAGCAAGGCCTGCCTCTTGCCTGGCCTCCATTCTTCAACTCTCAGCTCAAATGCCACTTCCTCAAGAAATCCTTTCCTGACAACCCCCTCCCATTCTAGGTCAGGTATTGAGGCTACCTTAATCCTTAACATAGGTAAACTTGAGGATTTGTCCTTACTGTGATTTAGGTACTTAATTGTCTCTCTGCCTCTGCTCCATCTCAGGGGAACCGATATGTTATACCTGGGCTGCTATAACAAAATACCTTAACTGCTATAACAAAATATTGCTTGGGTAATTGCCAAGCAATAGAAATGTAATTCCCATAACTATGGAGCCTGGGAAAACCAAGATCAAGGTGGCAGCAACTTAGGTGTTGGGTGAGGGCTCTCTGCTTCACAGATGGCATCTTCTCACTGTGCCTTCACAAGGCAGAAAGGGCAAACGGGCTCTCTCACGCCTCCTTTACAACTTAATTACCTCCCAAAGATCCCACTTTCTAATATTATCACTTTGGTGATTAGGCTTCAACATAAATTTCAATTTTGGAGACATACAAATAGTCAGACCATAGTAGGATTCTTTTCTTCACAGTTGTACTTAGATATCTGTATGATTCTTTGATAAACAGCTGACTCCTCTACCTAAGCTACCAGAAGTCTTGTCCTGTATCTCCCAAGTCCAGTTACTTACTAGCACATAGTAGTTGCTCAGGTTTGCTCATCTCCAGATATATATTTGAACATAAGGTCAACTTGAGGATTTGTCCTTATTGTGATTTAGGTACTTAATTATCTCTCTTCCTCTGCTCCATCTCAGGGGAACCAATAGAGCTTCCTAATAAGCCTGGCTGAGCTTCAGAAATGCTGCAAACAAGTGTATTTTCTACCCAAGCTTCACCCTCCAGAATTACCTCTTTAGAATTCTGTGTTTTTCCCCCTCTGGAATTCTGCGCTTGCCACCCTTGGAGTTCAGAGCCTCAAACATACTTTGTTTTTTGTTTGTTTGTTTGAGACAGAGTCTTACTCTGTCACCCAGTTTGGCATGCAGTGGTGCCATATTAGCTCACTGCAGCCTCTGCCTCCCAGGCTCAAGAGATTCACATGCCTCAGCCTCCTGAGTAGCTGGGATTACAGGTGCATGCCACCACACCCAGCTAATTTTTATGTTTTTATAGAGATAGGGTTTCACCATGTTGGCAGGTCTGGTCTTGAACTCCTGGCCTGATCTGCCCGCCTTGGCCTCCCAGATTTCAAACATATTTTGAATCAGGCCTTTCTGCTTGGTTAGGGCTGCAGTGTTCCTCCAAAAGGAATCCTTGATTATATATTTCTGTTCCTATAATTATATTCTGTATCTTTTATGTGTAAATGATGCCCAGACACATGGTGGAGGGCAAGGGAGCTGAGTGACAGAACGCAGAGATTTTTCTCCTTCAATTTAGAAATAGGACAGTCAGTAAGAGTTTAGTATGGGGTTACTTTTCCATTTACCATCAACTTTAGCAATTCCAGGAAAATTCTACTTAAAACATTCTTCTAAGTCTAGCCATCTCCTTTTCTTTACTTTTTGTTTTTCTCCTTTTTTTTTTTTTCGGAAGGGAGGCTGCTGGAGAAACTTTATTTTTCTCTCCCACTTTTCCAGGCTGGGCAGAGTTCCTGAAGCTGAAGACCTGGCCTCCCAGATGCTGAAAGGCTTTCCCAGAGACCGTGTCTCCGCCCAGGAAGCACTTGTGCATGATTACTTTAGTGCCCTCCCATCTCAGCTGTACCAGCTTCCTGATGGTGAGCGAGGGGATGCATGCATATGCGTGGGTGCGCGTGTGTAAGTCTTGGTTCTTAAGTAGTTTGCCTCAGCTCCAGAGAATCACAGCATTTGCACCCAGGAGTGAAGTTAGAGATCCATTTGCCTGGAAGAAGCAAGATGGGGCCCAATCTTGTCCGAGTTTTGCATGAGCTTCTCTCAAACTCTGAAGCACTGATGGGGATAGCTTACAAGGACCTCTTTGTAATGGTCCAAACACTTCACAGGTATACACTTACACTCAGAAATTGGATGAGATGGAAGTTGTCCCTGAGTTGTTTGCTTTAGCTACCATCTGCCAGGAAGCCACACCAGTGTTTCTATCAAGACCCTTCTCTCTTTCTGCCAGAGTAAGATGATAGGTGACGTGGATATGTCCTGAGAGGAAGCTGGGCCTTTCTTGATTGGTAATACCAAGCTGTGGAAGGCAGTGCTGGGGTGGGGTGCTGGGGGAAGGGAAGCATCCTCCCAGGCTGTCCACCCCTACAAACACAAGTTCTCCTGAAATCAGCCTTTGCTGCCTGGGCCTGAAGTCATCTTCCAAATCTGAAATCTGCTGAGGGGTCATGTGGTTGGAACTCCCCTCATGTTTCTCAGACTGTGGCCAGGAAGGGCTATAGGAGGATGTGGGCAGTGGTCATGGGGACTATCCTTAGGTGAGGTTTCTTTGAAAAAAATCCACCATTCAGCTAAAAATAGTTTTAGGAACAAGAGACAAGTAGACAGGAAAAGCAAAGCGACCAGGAAGGAAAAATAGAAGAGAGAAGCAGCCGGGGTTGGTTTTAGAAGTCCTAAGCCAGAGAAAAGAATGCTTAGAAGGGAGGGCCTGAGGGCTGGCACTGGGGTGAGGACACTGGAAGGGGTGTGAGGGATTGGTGACGGGGTACGGTGGGCTAAGGACGGGGACAGGGTGAGGAGCTCCTGTCCATGAGGTGTGGAAACGCCTGGCCTGTCTTGCCAGGGTTCACAGACAGCTCCCTTCTGTCTGGGACATCATCCTGCAGCAGTACAAAGCACTGAGTTTGGGACTTGTTGAGGCATTCTATTTTATGACTAAAGTGAGTCATTTAGGATCTCCAAAAATAACCATCATCATACAACTGGGGTTAATGTCTTACTTAACCCTGCAGAAAGAGTCAGTCATTAGTATTTATTAAGTTGCCATTAAGTGTCAAGAACATATTAAGTGCTATCAAAAGTTGAGGAAAACAAGAGACTTGTCCTTGGCCTCCAGGATCTTATGAAGTGGGAGGAAAAGAGGATGAGGAAAAGGAAACAGGGCACCGCCACACACATATCAGCACAAATCATATCTCAACAGCTGAAAATCTGTGTGTAATCAACTGCAGATGTGCAGAGACTATGTACGTGTTAAAGACAATTCTTTGGAGGAACAAGAATAATTGAAATGAGATGGATTAGACTGGAGGTGAATCTAGAGTGGAATTTGGAAGGAGGGGACAGGCAGGGGTTAGCATGTGGGTGGAACAAAAGACATTGCAGACACATCCACGCTTCTCCCTCCCTTCCCGGTACCTCTGCCCCGACTTTGGCCCCATTCCTTCCCAGCCACTCCCATCCCAATCCCCTCTTCCCAGTCCGAGCCTCCAGATTGCTCCTTTTTAGCTTTCTGCCCTTAGGCTTGGGACTTATAACTCTACTACTTCATGCAAGTGTACACACTTGGATGTACACACACACACACACACACACACACACACACACACTCCCTTCTCTTCACTTAAAGAAACTTTCCCCCATTGGCCCTCCTTTAGGATCTATTATTCCACATGCTGAGAATTGCTGGAGATCTTCAAAGTTTTCTAGGGACCAGCTTTTGCCTGATGCAGGGTGATTAGGAAGAAACAATCACTGTCAAACTGATGTGTTCTTAGAAACCTGGGTTTTGATTTTCCCAGCTGATCCAAAAGCAAAGCCACCAACAGAGGGGTGCATGGATGTCTAGGGTTGTGTATGTATTTGTGTATATGTGTGTGGGGGGGTGTGAGAGAGAGAGAGAACGATCTGTATTCCTTCCCTGTTCACCCAGTCACAGAGCCCAAATCTACTTTGACACTTTTAGAAAAATGAAAAGATGGAATCTTACAGGAGGCTGCCTGCACTGGGGGGAGACCAGGAGTGCTCACAGCAGGAGGGAAGTTGACTTTTCTTTATACATATAGGGGTTTTTCCATGCAGAGTTTAAATTATGCCTGATAAAAGGAGTTTCGTGGATGTTTCAGTTCTTTCAAATTCTCCTGGCTTCCTCCCAATTAAATGAGGTTTGTCAAAGCCACAGGGCTCTGCTGCTGCTGCCTCGGCGGACAAGCATTTCCTGCAGCGACATCTCGAATCCCCGAGGGAGAAGATGAAAGGGCCGGTGCCAAGAGACAGGGGAAGGGGGGGCAAGATTGGGTGTGTGTGTGCTCATGCACTCATGTGCACGTGATTGTGTGTGTGTGCTTGTGTGTGTGTGTGGCAGCGTGGTGTAGGAATATGCACAGAGACAGATGGACAGTTGGGAACAAGGGACAAATAGATAGGAAAAGCAAAGCTAGCCGGAAAGAAAGATAGAGGAACAGACAGAAGCAGCCAGGGCTGGTTTGCACACCTTCGTGACAGGGACCCTCACCACCGGCACATTTTCTACTAAGGGATGCAGTCCCTTGGCCTGGCAGTGCCAGCCTGCTTTTTCATTGCCTCTGGCAATGAGCCTTTATTAAGAGCCTCCTTTGCAGACAGAGTGAACCAGTGGGTAATCACAGTTCCTAACCTGCAGGGACACAGAAACTCCATCCCTGAGGAGGGCTGCCCCAGGCATGAGAATTGTGCAAAAATCAGCATGCTCCTGTGAGTGATTTGTACTGAGAGCTTCTCTGCCATCGTTATGCAAGGAATTTTGCTCTCTGGTGGCATTTCAGTATAAAATTATTTAGGGGATTATCTTTATATCATTTTATTATTCTGGTTTTACTCTGGTTGTAGGATAACAGAGTTGTCACTTTAAAAAATATTCTGTTTCCCCTTTGATCTGGAAGATGCCAGCTCTTATTGTCTGCCCTCTAAAGAAGACAATTAAAGCATAAAGCCTGGGACAGGGAAATATGTGGAGAGTGGAAGGACAGCCTAAATCCCAGTGCAAGAGTGGCACAGAAATTCCCCACAAAATGAAAGAATTGTTCCAGTCCATGTCTATTTTCATGAAGCTAGAAATCCTGAACAATGCTTTCCCTAGGTTGTGGCAGTACGCTGAGAGCCAAAGGACATTTATCAGAGGTTATTTGCCATGAAAACCAGGAATTCCAGGATTAGTTTCCTTTTGGACAGCACCTGAAGTGGAAAAGTGTGAATATTAGAATGGCAAGCATGTGGGAACGTCTGCCAAGTTCTGACATTTCCCCTTATTGACTCGTGAACACCTGAAGAAACACTTGTTGAAGGAGAAATTATTGGTAGTCCCTCTCAAAACACAGCCAACAGCAAGCTAATTGCTTTTGCAGATGGCCAGGGAGTCGCTCTTCCCACTCAGACACCGGCTATGGCCACACTTGTGGTCCTCGTGGCTGAGCCAGCAGGGCAGGACGTCAGCTGGGGCAGCAAAGACCTAAAATTAGGCCCTTGGCGACTCTCTAATCTTAGCTGCAGGTTCAGCTTCTTCATTTAATTCCCTTTGCCCTCAGCATGAACTTGGGCTCTGGGAGTGGAACACTGTTTAATGATTTGGGGGGAGGAGAAAATCATTAAGCTGCCCCTTCTCAAAACTGGCTCCGCTCTGCTCTTGCAGGAAGCCTTCCAAATGTTACCCTTGGAAAGTTAAGTCTGATTTTGGAAGCTAGCCATTTTGAACTACAGACACTGATCCAGAAAAGTATTTTTTATCTGAGGCAGTAAATGACACGTGATTTAGGAGTCTGGTCCTTAAGCCTTGGTTCTTGATCTCATCAGGACATCAAAGGCTGTCTCTCTTTCTCTCCCCCTCTCTCCCGCTCTCTCTCTCCCTCTCTCTCTCCCTTTCTCTCTCCCCCCCCCTCCCTTTCCCCTCCTTCCTCTCTCTCCCCCCTTTCTCTCTCTCTCTCTCTCTCTCTCTCTCTCTCTCTCTCTCTCTCTCTCTCCCCCTCTCCCCCGCCCCGGGTTGGTCCCATTTTGCTTGCTAGCCAAATCTCATACTTGAGTCTCCCACTCCTTCCTGGACTAAATCCCCTTCTCCTTTAAAATGGGTATTAGCATCTTAGGGGGAACAAAATCTTAAAACTTAAAAGCTTGCTCGTTTCACAAGTAATTTTGCAAAAATGCTAGACCACAGGCCACATTGTTGGTGTATACTTATGTACACATAGGGATGGAAGATAAACATGGTGTTTACCTCTACCTTGCATCACACCACCTCGATACCTATACTCTGAAAGTTCTTCAGCATGCCTCATTGCCCTGTTAAAATGAGTCATATTTTCCTTTGGTCCAATAAGAGCTTCAGGCCTTCTTTGAGTGTTGCCTCCTTTATATATTTGAAGATCCCTATGATATCACTTCCCAAAGGCCACTTTAGGCTAAATTCCTTTAACTTTTGTTTCTGAATGCAAATTGTGTTTCTTCCACTTTTTAGTCATATTGTTGTATCGTTCTTTTCTGAATCTGCTCCAATTATTTTGCTCGTCTCTGAGAATATGGAGGCAGCGTAGATTCAAATTGCTGGCATAGTGGGAGAATCATATTCCTTTCCTTCACTGTAGGTATGATATTAAAGGTATGTCTGTGAGGTATGATATTAAAGGATACAAAAATGAATTAGTCATGGACCCTGTCCTCAAAGAGCTTACAATCCTTTAGGAAGTAAGACAGGTATATAAACAGCTGCAGATCAAGTAAACAAAATGTTCTAAGTGTTCACAGGAGGTGAGATTAACTCTAGAAGTGGGGATCCTGGATGATTTTGGGAGTTAGTCTTGAAAGATGACGGGTCTGAATGGTTAGAAAGGGCATACTGGGAAAGGAATATCATGTTCCTCTCAATATCATCTAAGATTATTCTGAAGTTATCTTCTTTTTAATAATAGTGGCTCAGTCTTAACTCATATACCATTGTAGTTTTTCTTACCACTGTATGCCTTTTTGCAACAATTTAAACATTCTTTGACATGTACTAATCAAGCTTAGTCTAAACTTAGTTCACTCTAAATGCTTCCACATAATATCAAATCTATTTTGTTTATTGCTTTTATTGTCTATTCTATTCAAAGTTGAACCAGAATTTTTGTCTTTCTGTGAGGCCAGGTTTCAGGGACTGGGGATGTTGGAAAAGAGGGAAGGAAGATTCTCAGCCATTCTCTTGACTCTATACTACTTTTAGGAGTTTGTAACCTAACTCAGACCAACCGGTCCACCTTTTGAATCCTCCATTAATCAGTCCTTAAGAAGCAATACGTGAAAAAGCAAAGTTGGAGGTGTCCTCCATAACACTTCCTCACCTTCTATGCACAAAGTTATCCTCAATCCATTTCCATACATTAGAGGAGATACTGGGTTGAAACATGGTTTATGAGGTTGCATAGCATCACGTTGCTGGGGAAAGTCCAGGAAAACCAAGTCCCTCCGCACTACCAAGCCCTTAAGTTGATTACATTTGTTACATTCATTGCTGAAAGAGTCTGCAAGTAAAGAGTCATTTCTAACTCTTTTCTGAGTGGGAAAGGATCTTAAAGACTACTTATTCCATACCTTCATTGCATAGATAAATCACTGATGCCCAGGGAAGAATAATCGTACCTGCCTTTTATTGGGCATCTGTGTGCTTTATATAAATTATCAATCTGTGTACTAATTGATAAGACTGGAATTGTTATCCTCATGTTACAGATTAGACAGCTGGAAGTGAGGTAAGCTAATTGCTCAAAGTCACACAGCTAGGAAGTTGTAGAGCCAAAGCTACTCCTTTCCCACTATTCGTTGTTCTTGCTAAAAATCTCATAGGAAATTAGCTGCAAAACCAAAATTAGAACCAAGATCTTGAGGCCCAGTCCTGTGCTCTTCCCACTGTCTCATGCACTGTGTTTATTTTAAAGCTTTTCTGGGAAAGATTCCACATGTCCCCAGGTAGCATGTTTAATATCTCACCATTAAGAGGCCTCAGTTTATGTTGAATAGAGTCTTACGCCCCAGGACCAACTTCTTCCTCAATGCCATCTTATTTTCTTTTTCTTTTTTCTTTTCTTTGCTTCTTTTGTAATAATATATGTAGTCCCCCTCAGGTTTTAAGATTGATTGATTGATTCTGAGACAGAGTTTCACTCTTGTCTCCCAGGCTGGAGTGCAATGGCATGATCTCGACTCGCTGTAACCTTTGCCTCCCGGGTTCAAGTAATCCTCCTGCCTCAACCTTCCCAGTAGCTGGGATTACAGATGAGCACTACCACACCCAGCTAATTTTTGTATTTTTAATAGAGACAGGGTTTCCCCACGTTGGCCGGGCTAGTCTCAAAGTCCTAACCTCAGGTAATCCACCCACCTCAACTTCCCAAAGTGCTGGGATTACAGGCATGAGCCACCGTGTGTGGTCAAGATGTCTTAATCAATGGTGATAAATGTTTTGTTTCACCTGTGACTCATTCGGTTTTATAAGAAAAACATCAAGGAATCCAATGGAAAATGAGGCAAAGGCATAAAATAGCAATTTATGCATGAGGAAACGAAAAGAGCATAGCAACACATGGAATAAATTGACTGCTTTACTACAAATAACCATTAAATTAGTTATTTTTTTTTTCTGTAACCTAATAACTCCCAATGTTGGTGAGATTGTGGTAAAATGATTCTCTGTTGATAGTAGTGAAACTTTTGCAAAGCATTATAGCATGCATATCAGGAGTCATAAAAATGATCATACCATTCACCTCTATGCCTTTGTCCCTGGAAATTATCTAAAGAAATAATTGAGGAGGGGGAAAAACCCAAAAACCCAGATTAATGAAAATGTTCATTGCAGTGTTGTCTATACTGTTTTAAAATTTTTTAAATAAAAAGAAACAATGTAAATATTAAACACCAGAAAACTAATTAGACAAATATTGGTATATTGACTCAACAAATAGTACTATGTAACCATTTTAAATGATCATTAATAGAACTGTGTGATGTTATGAAAGTGCATATGCCATCGCATGAGCTATAAGAAACTAGAATACAAAATTGTATATTATGATGTACCTGTGAAAATTAATATGTACATGAACAAAACAGAAAGGTAATATACAAAATAAAAATGCTCTTCTAGTTTAGGGGGCTTGTAGGTCATTTATTTTCCTTTCTCAGAGCTTTCTTTAAACTGGGGTGTCATATTGTCTTAGTTGTTTAAAAAAATAAAACAGCACAGGCAGTCTGAGCTGTGGATTGAAAGTTAAAGGACCTGAGTTTTCTTCTTTTTTTGTTTCCCAACATAATGTGTGCTATTGGCCTTCATAAACCTCAATTTCTCCATCTGCACAATGGGTTAACACTAGTTTTCTTTACCCCAGATTGACAGAATATTTATTTTTATAATGCTTTTAACTCACTGAATGCAAGCATTCATATAAATTTGGTCCTAGGAGAATGAAGGGTAGGCGGGAAAGAAAGGAAAAAATAAATAGGCCTAATTAATTTTAAAATGAAAGATCATCTGCTTTAATCAGAAATGTATGTGTACTATGCCCCTAGTCAGAGTTTTAAGTGCCCTTCATGTTAGTTAGCAACTTCAGTTTAAAGTACTGTGTGATCCTCTGGGCTTTGAAGATATGAAGCCTCTATACATACACATGAGCTAAAATTACCACGTAATCACCAGGATGTGTGCACTTTGAATAATTAAGTGTACTAAGCATCTCCAGCTGATGGATTGATGATGTGGAAGAGTAGTGCAAAACCCACAGTGACACGAGCGATTACAAGACATTTTGAAATGATAGCTTAATTTTCAAGCATTTTTTTTTTTTTTTTTTTTTTTTTTTTTTTTTTTTTTTTTTTTGCTTGTGCTTTCTCTGTTAGCCATTATGGGCAAGTAAAAGAGATTTGATTATCTTGTTTCCTGTGAAAGGTTATTTAGCCCCTCAATCCCATTAAGTCACTTTCTGCACTCCAGTGCACAGAGCCTTCACCAGGTTATCAGCCCAGGAAGAGTAAATGGAGACACCAGGATCGGATTTCTAAAGGAAGGAAAGTTAAAGCAAAGTTTGAAAGGGGTGACAGCCAACAGCCATGAGCTTAGGAACTCAATTAGACTAAAAAGACAACTATCTCATTATCTCGTTCCGAAATGATCTAAATACATAAGAATCTAAAAGTTTTAAATAAACTTGTCCTGCCGACTGTCTAGATGACTGAATTTCCCTTCTCAAAAAAATTTTAAACACCCGCTTTCATATTTATTTATTCTAAGCGCGAAGCAGCTGCGATAATTATGCTGTCAGCCTCGGGAAGCTAATGAGGAGTCACCGGAGTGGAAGGTTTTGCATTTGTGAGATTGCTGCAGGAGAGCCACGCTACAGCTTTTTTCGTTTTTTCTTTCCCTTTCTTTCTTCCTCCTCTTTCTTTTTCTATGAGTTGGGAAGGAGAGTCTGGCAGTCCACGGCCAAATTGGAATCCTTTTGATTAACCGGTTGCCTTCCCAACATGTTCTGCCAGATAATGTCTCTCTCTCTCTCCCTCCCTGCTTTTGAGGAGCTGCTGCTTTTGAGGGGCAAGGAAGCCTGAGGGAAATCCCAGCTTTTCATGCCACTGTCCCCAAGGCAAGAGGATACTTCTCCCCGAGAGAAGTTCCCCAAATGATTTGGATTTGAGTTGGTTTGAGAACAATCAGTAAAGTATACGCACTGTTTATTTTAGCTGTTTAACTGTCTATACTATGACAAGAGCTAAAAGAAAGTAGAATACAAAATTGCATATTATAATGTCCTTGTGAAAATGTCTTTATGCATAGCAACAAAGTATGATGGTTCTCCTTTCCAGTCTAGCCAATATGCGATTCCAAATAGAAGATGAGACCGCAGATTACCTACCGCATTTAGGGCAGAAGTGTAGGCCAGGAGAGGCAGGGCTGGCAAGTTTATTTCTTCCAGCAAACAGCATTATTAAGGCATTTTATGCTTTTGGTGCACTAAGAACAGAGGCGTCTCTTTTTGTTAAATTGTGAGGCAGTATGCTCACAATTTAACAAAATTTTGACCAACCCAGGTTTACGCAGATTGTGAACCTGGGAAAAGCAATACTCACATGGAAGGGGCCCTGAGCCAGTTTTGTGGGTGTACTTTGGCAACAGTGTGGCTGCTGCCTGTTGCCATTTTTCTCGGGTATCTGTGCTAATACTTGTAACAATAGCTACCATTTATTAAGAACATATTGTGAAAAAAATAAAATAAAAAAAATTAAAAAAAATTAAAAAAAAGAACATATTGTGTATCAGAAACTAACCCAAAGTGTTTTGCATATATTATCTTCTTTAAACTTACAGCAATCTGCCAGGAAGTTTTATTTTTCTCATTTTTTAGATAAGCCCCTTGCCGTGTCAACTTTGGGAGCTTTAGTGTAGTGAGGATTCAGGAGCAGCAGGCACTTACCAAACTCTGGACTTGGGAAAATGCAAACTGCCAGTGTTCTGAGCTAACCAAATACCTGATTTGGACTTCAAAGGTAGTATATATATTTTCAAATAGTTCATTTTTTTCAATTTGCAAAAATTGCACCTTAGAGTCTCTATAAATAGATTAGCAGTGGGGCATGGCGGCTCATGCCTGTAATCCCAGCACTTTGGGAAGCCAACGCAGGTGAATCACCTGAGGTCAGGAGATCAAGACCAGCCTGGCCAACTTGGTAAAACTCCATCTCTGCTAAAAATACAAAAATTAGCCGGGTGTGGTGGTACACACCTGTAATCCCAGCTACTGGGAGGCTGAGGCAGGAGAATCACTTGAACCTGGGAGGCAGAGGTTGTAGTGAGTCGAGATCGTGCCACTGCCCTCTAGCCTGGGCAACAGGGCAAGACTCTGTCTCCAAAAAAAAAAAAAAAAGATTGCCTAAAGTATCTAACAAGAATGGAAACTTTCTAAAACGTATCTAGCCCAGCATGATGCTCATTGCCTCTCACCCTCTGTCACCCTCTAACTAACGTCACCCTCTAATATCACCCTCTAACTAATGCCACCCTCTAATTAACGTCACCCTCTAACTAACGTCACCCTCTAACATCACCCTCTAACGTCACCCTCTAACATCACCCTCTAACTAATGTCACCCTCTAACTAACTTCACCCTCTAACGTCACCCTCTAACTAATGTCACTCTCTAACATCCGGACTCCTTGGCATGACATTAGCTTCCTTCACCATCTGGTTCCAACCATTTTTCCAACGTTATCTCCCAGTCTGTCTTGTTTTAAACATGCAAGATGACTTGCAGTTCTCTCAAACACTTTTCTCTCTTCATGTCTTTGCTCATGCTGATCCCTCTCTGGGAATATCCTCCTTGAAAGTCATTCACTATTGAGAGCAGAGTCATCCCTCGGGTCTCAAAGGGCATCTTGTCTGTGCTCTCTTTGTGCTCCGAAGACTTGGAGGGAGGGGTTAACATAATCCTTTGTGCCTCACTTTTGGTCCTTGTTTATATGTGTATGTGTGTGTCCCTCCCAGTTTTGTTCCTATTTTTATCATCTTCAACACAAAGCATAATGCCTTGCACAAGTGTTCACTAGGTAAATATGCATTAAACTGAATTAAATAGAAGGCACTTGCAACTATTAGTAGATTCAGTAAAGTGAGTCATCCATGAGTCAGTATGAATTATTAGTAAGTCTGGCTCATGTTTTGACATTTCTTCAGGTGACAAATATTACAGCAGACAGAAATATATCACAAAAGATCCCAGGAAATAACATATTGGTGCTTCTCTCTTTTCATTCCTACAGAGGAGTCTTTGTTTACAGTTTCAGGAGTGACGCTTAAGCCAGAAATGTGTGACCTTTTGGCCTCCTGCCAGAAAGGTCACCACTCAGCCCAGTTTAGCAAATGCTGGTGAAAAGAAAGGGTGAGATCACCAAGGTTCTTCCAGGTAAGTGGTCGCAACAGTGAGGTTCCTTATGGACAAAATTGAAAAGCAATTGCTGCCAGGTGGAGAGGATGTGGCTCAGGGATTCAGAGCACCTCTGTGCTGTTTCTAGTTCTTCCTCACCAGCTCTAGGACAGGTGGCTTCACCTCTTCAGGCCTCCATTGCCTGGCTGGGCAAAGAGAATAATAACATGCATTGCCTGTCTCTTCCACTCCCAGAGCAGGGATAGAGTTCCTAAGACAGAACTTCCATGCTTCCACATCAGTGAGACCTTCAGCTGACACAGGAGGAACCAAGGGGTTTCCTGGGATGCAGGATGCTCAGTGCTAGAATTGGCACAGTCCTGGATAAAAACCAGGACAGTTGGTCACTTTTATGGCACAAATGACCTTCCAGGGTAATCTTGAGGAAGAAGGGGTGCTATGAAGGATCTTCCCAAAGCCACCAGACCCTTAAATGGCTACTACTAGCAGGCACAAGAAGCCAGGTGGGACAACTCCAAAAGTCACCATAGTATAGACAACCCTATAGATATCTCAAGAGCACTTCCCATCTGGGGCTTCCATGGCGGTAGATGCAACAGCAATCAAGATAGAGGAATCAAGATAGAGCCCACATGTAGAACCCGCCAGCCTGCCTGCCTGCCCTTTAGGTGACCCTGGCTATATCCCAAACCACAAGCATTATCCTCTGATTTGGCCACCCATTTGACAACCACAGCTTGGCGGTGCTTCCCAGGAGCCTAGATGGTAACCACTGGCATTCCCTACAAACTCCCCAACAATATCACTCACATGGCCGGATTCACTCTTCATTCTTTCTCTTGATCTCTATCTTTGGCTGTCACTATTTAAAGGCATATACAGATTAAAGATGTCTACTTCTTGGCTCTTTTAAGATCATTGTCTTGTCTTCAAAGAGCAGGGAAGTTCAAAATTATAGCTGATCCTCAGAGAATTTTATGAAATAGCTGTTTGTATTTGTGACAATATAACTTTAAAATTAAAATCGGCAATATGATACGGTATTTCCCAAGCAAAATATTTTCTAGAGCAGAGCTTTTGCTGTATAATTACACCATTTCAAACCTACTAGTTATAAGGACAGAATGACCTTTAGCTGCATTCTGTGACATGGAAGGCTTATCCTTCATAAAATTATCCAAGACACTAATGAAAATGGGCTCAGATGGTGGTGCTCCATTAATGTTATTACTATTTCTATTGTTATTTTCATAAGCAGCTGGAAGGTAGGGAAATAACCTTGCCTTTCTGATCTACAGTGATCTTCCACAAAGAATTGTTACCTGTAGTGTAGACATAAACTGGTTACAATAGAAAATCAATTAAATGCAGCATGTCAAGCTTGTGGCCTGCACCAGCAACTGAAGAAGGGAAAAGGCAGAGTTTGCCTCTGCTGGAGTAATCTCATGATGTCCCTAGGCCTTGGTATGAATGTAAGAAGATAAAACCGAGATGAGCCACAAGAGGGAAAAGCTAGAGCAATTAAACTGTTTAATAAATGGCTTGGGATCAGCAAAATCTAGAGTGCTAGAGTTAAAGAGACTAAAAGCAGTAATCACACGGACACTTGGGGCCTGCAAATCTTTTCCACCGAACTGAATTTATGTTAAAATATTCACTTTTCAGGAGAGTCAAAATGTAAATTGGGGTATTAGGACTTTGTAACTGGCAGCAATGCCTCAAAATTAAAGACTCTTGAAAAATCTTCAAAACGTTGGTTTCAGGCAGGGATAAAAATGTATACTGATGTCTACAACAGAGAAATCGAGGGTAACTAAAATTTACCGGATAGATACCACACACAGGCGCTTCAGTGAGGGCTTTACACATATTGTTTCAAAGCTTAGCATGTTTTGAGCAGTCGGTGGTGGTGAGTTACAGTGATAGTTTATAAAATCTATCTGGAGATAGATTTTGATTATTTGTAAATCTTTCTTAGTTCTTATAACCAGGGTTAAGATGCTGCCTCTCTTACACTTTATCATTACCTTTTCCATCAGTATATATAATGCCATCAATAACTTTGCAATGTTTAACTGATTTTCCTTCATCAATACTCTGTTGTGCATTATTTTGATTGTGTTTGTTTTTCATTACTTCCAGGGCTGTATTTCTGCTGTTTTGAGTTTCATATGCTTCAGCTTACTAAGAAGCTTCAAATCTAACTCCATACTGAAAAAGGGGTTTTATGCCCTCGACTATGACCTGGAATATTTTAAATATGATGTTCAAGGTGACAGTACATAATACTGGAAGAAAATGCAATGGAAGATTATTGCTATTGTCATTTGCGTAGAATTTAAGTGATTAAAAAATTAGATATAAACTAAGATAGCCTGAGAAGAGGTCTTCTGAATAATTTCATTCATTTTGTCATTTGATAGATTCCTGGGCCAGAAGGTTGATTTCCCAAAAAGACTGATAAGAGACTGACAATTCAAAGAATCTGGAGACAGAGTTGGTGCTTAACAGAGACCTGCCACTCCTGTATTTACTTAAAATTTCTCTCAACAAAAGGATTTCTGTGGCAAGGAGAAAACTAGTCTAAAGTTTAGAAAAGTCTCTAGGGAAGATGGTTTCTTGGATAACATTGTCAACAAAAGGACTTGCTGAGAACTATTTATTATTATTTCCTAGGGGGCGCTTCCTCCCTCACTAAACTGGATTATCAGAACCCATTACCACCCAATGCAGATTTTAGGAGTTTGGATTTGGCTGCTGGTTAGAATTAAATTTCAGGCTATCTCCTCCTTCTGAATCTTAATTGTCTGTGATGATGGCAACAGTGATGGGGAATCTAAGCACTGGTTTGATGGTGGAGATAATGAATAAATAGATGGGAGCAGAGTTCCAAAGATGTAATTTAAGCTCTGTTGCACCACCAGACACACACACAGACACACACACATAACTCAAGTAAAATGAGAGATCTGTCTTAGCTACACATGTGCCGTTTTATACAATGACTCCTTCTAAAAGAAGCCAGGGAAACTCAAATTACTTCTGCCTAGGGATCTTCTCAGGAAATGCAGTAGCCTAGAAACCAGAGATCTCTGTATATCCTTTGGAAGAACAAGGAGGAACTAATTAAGAGAGAATTAAAAAATAGTGACTATCCCCCAACATCTGAGATGGAGAAAGGAAAGACACATGGATAGCCCAAATAAACTACCTGAGTATTTGATTTTAGTAAGGAATTTGTCAAAGGTTGTCCAACTATGCCTGAAAGATGAAACAGTGTGGGCTGGGTGATGGAGCAGATATACGTGCTCAAATAATGGTGGTTATTTAACCTGGAGAAAGGCCAGTCATGGTATGGTACAAGGTTCAGTCTGGAGTCCTATTC